TTCATACTCCGAGTTATCGCCCCCGCCAACCCAATGCTTAGACAAATGTAGTTTACCAGAGCATATTAGATCCATTTCTCCTGAGTCTTCCTTTTCGTATACTTCTGGAACTCCCCATCCGGATAAGTCTGGGCATATTCAGGCCCCATGGGCAGAGACGCCCGCAGTTGTGGACAGCTGGATGGTAGTGAATATGTCGACCGACTACAGGTCCGATTGCGTGCCGGCAAGTCGCAACACTCTCGTTCGTCTCGGATTGGATGTAGTGCTCAATTGTGAAACACTTGTGATGCCTCCAGACCCGGACAGTTTTAGAAGCGAAAACCAACCGGGTCGGTAATGAGCATTTACTTGATTACTATTGCTATACCATTTTTGATATGATACCTGGGCCTTCCTAGCGAAAAAAATTCGGTAGGACAGTGATGATTTGGCAGGCGGGTTCAGGAAATATATCAGACTATTTGAATTGGGAAAACCCTTACGCGTATGCAGATCGTAAACGCTAACTAGCTGTCACCATGTTTATTTTATTCAATTAGCATAATTGTATAGTGGGAACATATCACGATAAACTAAATACTTAAGGTATGTACGGATAGATCTCTACTCAAACCACACGTTCATTTTGTTGCTTAGACGAAATGTTAAAACAAATTTCACATCATATTACTAGTTGGAAAAACACTCAGTTTACTTGCCCGAGACTTAGCTTCTTATATCTTTCAGCAGCCAATACGCTAATCCCAAGTGGGCATCTCAAAGCGTAAATCGTATGGTGGCAATCTGAAATTCGAATTACAGGAATTTTGGATGATGAGATTTAGATCACTGCATTAGAGCTCATCTATTTTTTCTCATCCCTGCCGACTTGAAAAAATGATAATGGCACTAGGACTCAAGACATCTGTTTCGCACAAGCCATCTAGATGCGCTCGGGAGCAAGAACGTCTGGCAAATGCCGTTAATTTATTCACACATTTGGTTATTTGTCGCGATGTTATTTCGCCACCTAATTGAATTAAGTCGAGCCGGTTTTAAATATCCATATTGACTGGGCCTAGAGAATATTTA